TTTGCATTCCAATCACCAGTAATGAGCAATACATCTTGATTGCATGTTTGATCGATTTCAGATTGAAGAAGTTGGTAAAATTCTTCTATTTCATCCTCACTGACTTTAGTGCTTGATGCATAAATTTGAATAATAATGGTATTAACTGGGCTTCCCCGTAAGTGCAGTAGGTGCATGGATATTATCCTATCACTTACAGCATTATACTTCATGACTGATCTGGATATGTTGTTTTTGACGTTCCCAAATATATTTAAGTTTTATAAACACATTTCTGAAAAGGAAATTATGGAAAAACAGTATTAGGAAATTAGTGTTAAGTTACTACTAACTGATGTTTGCTGTAGATTACAATATAATTTCTGTCAAATTTAAATGAAATTCATTGGGAAAATATGATTCATTCTTCAAATATATATTTGGCCCATCTTCTAGGAGTATGTCACTTGTATGGCCATCAAACTGGTAGTGTATATAAGATTTAGTGGTGTTAAGAACTCTAAAATAATCAGGATGTTTATATTAAATAACAGTGTTTAGTGATGTCATCCAGAATATTCATGGCTTTAGAGATGATGAAATAGTCTAGTCTTCACTTATCCTCACTTTGAAATTCTTGTCTTATTTTGTAGAATTTATCACGTTGATGATACTCCTTCTGGATCAGTGGATGGGGTGCTTGATTACAGTAAGGCCATTCAAGTAAGCGATTTTATTTTTGCCAACCAATTTTAGTACCTGTAGACTTTGAAATATTGTAATTGATTTTGAGACCTGCAAAATTATTTATTTGTAGTAAATAGCCTATTACTCTAGTGATTCTTTAAAGAAATTTCTATTCTTAAAAAAAGTTTTTCTTGAAACTTTTGGACTAAAATAATGGCAACCAGTAGCTAATATGATACTATTTAAAAAAGCACAGTCTCTAAAAATATTGGGAAATGTAACTCCTCTCATCCTGTCCACTTTGTTTTATTTTCACCCTCATTCCCTCCCTTCTTCCCTCCTTCTCCTATTTCCTTGCTCCCTCTATCCATTTATTGTAGATTGGTTTGTCACTTCTGAAATATTAGTAAGTAGCCATGTTTTTGCTGATAACATAATTCAGTATTTCTTTATGGAAAAATGCTTTTGTTTATATAAGCTAATGTAATATAAATACTTTAGTGGACAGTTTTATTTTATTTTTGCATTAGGCAAATGTGCTGCACAAAACCTTTTTTTTTTTTTTTTTT